TAGAATATAAATTACGTATGATCGACAGATTCACCATTGAAATCCATATCGAATATGCATTGCAATGAGAGCACGCGTAAGAACATAATAATACTGGGTCGCGGACATGCACTTATGCAAAAATATCTCAGCGTTGAAATATGTTTTTGAAGCATGGATGGGAGGCTTAATCGATTTGGACATGATTAGCTCCGTTCTCAACCGCCTTTCAGGAACACCAATTAGTCAGAAGCACATGGTTCTGACAACAGCTGGAACAGAGCAACCACGTGGCACCGTCTGTGGAACCTCTGTCCGATTCTGAGACAACTGTACATTGACTACACGTCAACAATATGAAAAATGAACCCTGTGCACTTGATATCCCTCCAGTCCGGAATTCTAACATGTCTTTGTTATAAGAAAAGAATAGATACATTCGAATGATTAATTGTACACTAATTAAATTAGACCTAAATCAGGATCACATATTGACCATACATGCAGACTATAAGCAACAACGTAACAAATAATGTTAAAATACAGACATATAGATCTACTCTTAACATGATTTTAAAGAATGCACCCACTTACCTTACATTTTTTACACAGAAGCAATTCAGGATGAAATGTGTTAGTCATGTCTATCGTCATCTTCTTATGCCATGAACTGACAACTCTTACAGCAGGGAAGCGTGTAATATAGTTGACATACATATTCCGTTTGGTTATAAAATATATCATACACTTGTAATATACACATATGTCAAACTTGAGTGGATCATTTCCTTAAAGTGAGCCAAAAAACCGTAATAGTATATCCATAAGCCTTACAATAATGCCTTTTACATATTGCTTAAACGTTTAACATCATAAAGTCTTCATTTAATTATTTGCATAACGTATATTGATGAAGTAAGCATGTTTAGCATTTACAAATATTTGTAAATGATATCAAAGATTGCCATTGTGCCCTCTCATAGGAGCTCTCCTATTCATAGTGTTACTGCAAAACGTTCCCGACGCAAAATGTTATAGCTATTAGCTGTCGAGTACTTGAGCATTGCGTGCAGTCGCACGCTGACTCGGAGGCTCGCGAACGTGCTTGTGCACCGTAAATATCATAACGGAACCTGTCTACATATTGCTGTACCATCCTCTTGTGTAAATCCCATTAATACTTCACTACGCACCCACGTTTCCTGTTATGAAAGATCCGGGTTAGAATTGGTCTTGGCAACCCATGTTTGTCGTGAGAGGCGACTAACGAGATCGGGTGGTCAGGCTCGCTGACTTGGTTGACACATGTCATCGTATCACAGTCGCGTAGTTCGATGCTCATGCTGTTGATCACTGGATTATCTTGTCCAAATTCGATTATTTACAGACCGTCGCCATATTGCTGAATGCGGTGTTAAACAACAAACCAACCAACCTACCTGTTAAGAAATCAATTACAAATTCTGATTTGAAATTTTGAACATGCAACTCAAACGGCCTTGCTGTGACTAGATTCTGTTTACATGTATATGTATGATGTATTATGCATACAATAACTGCTGCTTTAAAACAAGCTGCCTTTATTCGAAATTGTCTGTTTTGCTTCGGTTCTTCTATTAATTTTTATGAGGTTCTTGGACGACTTGACTTTGATCTTCAGTCACAACGACAAGGCCACGTTGTGATCCGCCAACGGCATCATAAAAATATCTGAGGGTTCGCAAGTGTGGAGTTCCATGAATTTTGCTCCCATACCCTTCCGTCGTATGTGATGGTTATACGAGCGTGAATGCACTGAAGTCTGTGAGGTCTCATGAAATGGCAATTTTCCCTTAGCGAATTGATTCCTTTGTTATTTTCCCGTAGTTTCGTCTCAGGATCAAGACCGAAACACTCGGTTATGTGTACACCCTCAACCGTCGCTAAATTTATGAACTACATACTCATGTCACTTTCTGTTAAGAGTTGTTTGAGGACAAGAAAATGCAGAATCGTTTCAAAGGGCAGATCGCAAAAGTCGATATTTATGCAATTTGCATTTCTCCATACTTAACAGCAAGCACCTGCTTCTACATCATGTCATCTTTTGATATAGTCAGAAATACATAACGAGACCACAGGGACGTGTGTTTTGCATCTCGTACGTATTCATTCTAAGTAGAAGATGGACAAGTAAACCACAGAGGACATTCTACAGACAGCTGGGCCACGATTGGAAGACAAATAACTCAATGTTTTTTATAAGCCTTGGTGCTTTGCAAGAGTCTGCATGCACCTCACAACAATATACAACTTCGTCTGGGTTCTCATACCATTCAAACCATCTACAGAATATATTCCCTGAGGTAGTGAAGGATCTGTTTGATACGCATACTAAATGAACTCGTATTGACGAAAAAACACAATCCAGAATAATAAACTTCATTTCAATGTTTTTCTCCTGTCAAGCGAGGTCGGTGAATATGAATAATGTTTTACCAGTGGCATACAGAAATATCCAACACATGCATTAGTTGTAAATAAGATTCAAATAGGAACATGTCCTGTCATTCAGAGCAATATTGTTGTGATACATGTGTTGTGAGTTAATTTATGCAACAGTCTCTTTGCATGAATGATGTCGGTGTTTTACGTTTTTTTCAGGGTCATATTTAGTTACATGTGTTCTTCTATCTTCAAATGGCAGTCTAGAGGTTAGACCATCGCACGGCACCCCAAGACCAGGGCTCGACAGGGGGTAATCCAATTCAAAATTTGATTCAATCGCCGTCTTATTCATTATCTATTAAAACAACGCGATGAGTAGAAACATTTATACACGTACAACCAACGTACTCATAGACATTCATAGATTCGATGCAATCGCGAGTAATACATCATATATACAATGAGAGAATCTAGAATCCAAACCACCAACCATCTTGTTGATGGCCAGAATGATGAGAACTATTTATGGTAATGGTATAGCTGATGACAAGATGAAGTAGCTTGGTTGCTAAATGCAAAGGAGAAGACCACGGACGATGTTAGTATCAATTGGCACTTAAGTGTGACAATGAGACTGACAGATAACTGTATATGTGTCTTATACTGCACCGATTGCCTCAGATAGGCCCCGGCAATTTACTCGTGACGTTATCTCAAACCGATATGATGGGGAATGGCTTCTGTTTGGCCCAGACCTTTGCCCAAGGCTTACAGTGAGTAATGTTCTCATTAGGTCTTAATCTTGGGAAGATGGTTTTACCTTTCCCATCCCTTCCATAGGCACACGGGTTAGAAAGCTATGTTTTCTTAAGCATTACTTAAACATTTATACCATGGAGCGACATCTGCAAAGACTGGGGATTGTTAGGGTCATTCAGAAGATGGCTCGGGCATGCCAGAGCGTGGTCAGGTTTATGTTGAGCAACACTGTCATAAACACAGTCGGTGATTGGAGAGATAATAATAGCCTGAAAATCAGGCACACTGCTTGCCCAAGCCATATTTTTACACGGGGAACATATCCGCTTTCGTGACTAGATTCATCTTCAAAGGAAACACTTCCCATATAATGAGGAGTTATCAAAATTAGCAGAACGTGATTATGGGGATGGCCATTAAATTAACTTACTGAGCATGGAGGAAGTGTGTGGGGAATCCACTTAAGTGATAAACACAAGGACAATTTAATCAATAACCTGCACGTTGTTATGACAGAAACAGCATTTTAGCGCGTATATCCGGTTTACTCTGCTACACTCACTGAACCTTACTGAACACAAAACGTGGCATAATATTGATGTAAGTTCACACGATGTTCATGTTACTGAAGATTTTTTGTAAATAAATAAAAAAGGAAAATATGATTATGTTTCTCAAAGTGCTTTGAGAGGAGATTTTCATAAACGCATGATCAAATGTTTACCTGTAATGTATCGGAAGCCCTGACAAGAGTTATAAAAGTCTGAATGATGTTGGTATATTAAAGCATATGCTGTAAAGGTCGCTTGTGGTTTAATTGTTCAGTCACTGAGCCTATGTAACAGTTCGATTTCCCCGTGAGTTTGATGAAGCCCATTTATCGTTTCTAGTGTCTGGTCAGATCGTTTTACTTGCACTTGCATGCAGACACATTTTTTACAATCGATATGTTATTATGTTAGTATTCGCTTTCATTCGACTCGGTGTCCATTTTTTTTCATTTTGGATGGAAGACGTATACTTCCTTTTTTCATATTAGCAAAATGAAATGTATTGCTGAAAAAACTATGAAAATGTAGCAACAATGTACGTATATTCGACTGTATGCCACTGTATTACACGGTAACTTTACAGCTTAATTAGCACAAGCCACCTTAGTTATGGGATAATACTTTTAAAAAATACATGATGAATATGCATTGAAAATCTGTTATGAGATGAATCACGTGTCGAGGTTAAAGTAGGCGTGGTATCGTTGTCTTCACCATTAGAACATACAAATTAGAAGGTCACCGTAATCTTCGACGTACTGCAGTACAGACGCCTTTAATCTCCCGTACGATATGGTAATATAATCACAAGGGTAATCGCAGGTAACGTAAACACTGATATAGGGGAGGTGGGTTAGCCTAGTGGTTAAAGAATTCGCTCATCACGCTGAAGACCCGGGTTCGATTCCCCACATGTGTACCATGTGTAAAGCCCATTTCTGGTGTCCCCCGCCGCGATATTGCTGGAATATTGCTAAATGCGGCGTAAAACTAAACTCACTCGCACTAACACTGATACATGTAAGACCCATTACAAATGAGATCACAGAAAGATGAAATTTTAGAAATATCTTCACAATATTAATTTTCTCTGGATCGTATGAAAAATAATTCGCAAATATATTAAACATTGATATAAATAGCTGTTATAAGTAATAACTATAAATACGAAGCTAAATAAGGAACTTTCCAGAGAGGCTCTATAGGCACACGTTGATAGGTTCCCGGCACGTGTCCGTTCCTTAACCCTGCAATATGGTTGTCATCACAAATATTCCCACTCACCTCTTTTTGTTTTTGTCCACGGAGCCAACAACGTCAATGCTGCAGACCACAATCACAAAAAGCAGATCCAAGAATATCCAGTCAGTGGACCCTACACGTATCCTCATTGTGAGGAGGTCTGACAGAAGCCTTTGATCTTTTCACAAATGAAGCTTTACGTTTACAATTTTGAAACTGGAATAAAATGGGTCTTTGGAGAACTGTATCTTATTTTATAATCTGACAAACACGGTGAGAAGCGGAGTGAAAATAATAGCTCCACGAGCTCTGCTTTGCGTGTCAGGACAAGGTTTGAAGTACGTGGAGTTTCTCATGAACCGGATCAAGCCCTGGGCTGAATAACGCTGAAAGAATATCCTCCACAAAGTAACCCGTATCTCTGATTACTTATCCTTCCGCACACTGCAAACTCTCAATGCTGAACAGCTGTCCGCCTAGCCCACCTGTCAATCTTACACCCTCTGCGCGTGCGTTGGCTCCGCCTTCGGCGGCAAAGGTAAGCGTGGTTTCCTAAAGCGCAGCGCTAATTACGGGCTCCGATTTCACCGGTGATCGAAGCCTGTTCATGCTGCTGATTATGAGGGAACGTTGTTCTGTGTCCTCTTCATCAGTGTTTTTCACAACCTGTACAGTATTCTCGCACTGGTGTTTGAAATGGAGGAAATTCCAGTAGTCCCTCTTTGTACTCGCTAGTTCTGCTGGCGCAAGCACTTTCTTCTGTCGTTGGATCAATTTTCGTCGTGTGTTGGTGATCTAAGTATGACCGATCCAGAGGTAGCCGAGAAAGCCTCCGCAGCCGTCACAGTGTCCGCATCGATTCACAAAGTCAAAATAATCCCACAAAAATGTTTCCTGAGATCTTTGGAGAATTTGCCCTTTTTAATATGAAACCAATTTACATCGGGGATTACCCGAACCAGTAAACCTTGATTTTAATCATGGTGAATTAAGCAGCAAACCGCTTCAGTATGCTGCTAGTAATTTCTGGGATTGCCCAGAAGTCGGTTTGGCCCGCCAACTTATTACATATGGAATCTGGAATAACATGGGAAAACATTTGCTACTTTTACTGATGATTCGCACGGAAAATAGTGCCTTGGTAAGGCGATACCACGAAGCTACCTTTAAAGTGTTATAAGCGCATTATAAACATACATAAAGTGATGTACCGGTCAATACTCGGTCTTTATTGCAGCGCCAGTGTGGCAGGAATACTGATGTGCGGCATGAGGCAACAAACGAACACCTGTCTATGCAAGTTGTTCCTGTAGGGTATTTGTGTCCTTTTCAGGAACACCTACAGTCCCCGTTTATTGTAAGTGATCCATTCGAATAATTTTCAACATTATTTTGCCCAATGGAATTGGTTTCGGAGTTTTATACTTAAGTCATGACATGAGGCACTGAACTTGTTGTTGACTAGACAACAAGTATCGTACGTTATGCACAGTAGCGTCCCTTAGTCGTGTTAGGATCTGCTTTGGTAATGCTTATATTTTTGCAGCACCATACCGTGTTCGTTAGTTTCACTAAATGACTACGAACTTCGTCAATTTTCACTCTTCGTACACATTCAGCTGTCAGGTTGTGGTGGAGTAGCCTAGCGGTTAAAGCGTTCGCTCGTTAAGCTCAAGGTCCGACTTCGTCAATTTTCACTCTCCGTACACACTCTTCTAACAGGGGCGATTTGAGTAGCCTCGTTGTTAAGCGTTCGCTCGTCAACACTCAAGATCCGACTTCGTCAATTTTCACTCTCCGTACACACTCTTCTAACGGGGGCGGTTGAGTAGCCTCGTGGTTAAAGCGTTCCCTCGTCAAGATCCAAGTTCGTCAATTTTCACTCTCCGTACACACTCTTCTTACAGGGGCCGGTGGAGTAGCCTCGTGGTTAAAGCGTGCGCTCGTCACACTCAAGATCCGAGTTCGTCAATTTTCACTCCCCGTACACATTCATTTCCCAGGGGGCGATGGAGTAGCCTCGTGGTTAAGGGTTCGCACATCGACATATCCTACTCAGTTGTTACGATATTATAAATTGGGATAGGCGCCGCAATGGAACTGAGATGCGGCTATAAAAGTTGTTACATGCCACAACTGATATGTCATGAGTCCTTTATCTACATTTCAATAACATCCCGACGCGTTAGATCAATACTGCAGGAAAGCCAATAGTGACTCAGGACTCAAGTTTATCTCTTGCTTAAATAATTCACTGACAAATCATTCAGGCGAATTCGGTTTCAGACCACCAGTAAGCCGTTTCTTACAGTGACGGGAAGTCACTCTTCACTCTTTCTTTAAGTGAGTGATTTTAGTTTTACGCCACTTTTAACAATATTTTAGCAATATCACAGTGGAAGACAGCAGAAATGAGCTTCACACATTGTACCCATGTGGAGAATCGAACCCGGATCATCGGCGCTTCAACTACTAGGCTATCACAACACCCATTTCGCTGTACACCCAATGGGACTTTCATGGCGTATGGGTGATGCTAATATGAGGATCAGGAACATGCTACAGGCTGAGTATAGACAGGACAGCACATTCAAATAATACTTATTACAACGTGAGTCCGTGAGTGATTGACTTTCGTTTAAACGCCGATTTTCACAGCGTGGCAGATCAATGTTCGCTCGAAACCATGCAGGTGCCAGACTTTCACCAGTTTGGTAAAACCCTCGAGGAGGGTATGGTCAGACAAATCTTGAAATACAATATGGGCGAACCATAAATCGAACCCGCAATCATAGGATTCTGGCATGCCCAAGGGAACCAACTCTGTACAGTGAAATGCAGCGTCTCTGATCCACGGTTTCCTTGTGAATTAAGAAGGCGAGACTAGTCAGACTCGCATTATTGTAAGATCAGATTTCCAATATCGCGTGTTTGTGGGTCACAATGTGTAAATGTCCCGATGTCATCATGTTCTGGCGGCATGTATCAACCCTCATTATGTCAAACTCTAATGTGTCTGGTCCAAACACGACCAACAACAATATCCTTTGATACAGCTGCAACACCATACAACCACGTATTCATTAACGCCAGCTTATTCTGTCATTTCAATGTATAGAATTCTACACCAACTAATAACCTAGGCTGGCTGGGGCAGTCCGCCTCTTTGGCAATACACTAATCCTTTTATAAACTACACATGAAATGAACACGAGCGATGATGAATGTAATATGCATAGGATACAAAAGTTGGATCTTTGCACGGCCGTTCCTTGGAGTAAAAGCTGAATAGCTCTGGGTGATCAGTCTTTCAGACAATCCCTTAATTCTTGCTTTAAATCATAACGTGCGCATTGTAGCAATCTATCCTATGTACTACATATACAGGGAGTGGAATTAGCATGTTCTTTGTATAATGCTTCAGACACTAACTCTGTAATTTATGTAGTTTTACTTCCTGGATTTATGCCAAACAAATATAATAAGAAGTAGCCGATCCCGTTGTCTCGTATCAACGCTCACGTAAACGTACCCAAGACCTTCTCAAGGAAGCAGATGTACTTTTAGTCATGTTTCATTATACTCAGGTAGACAAAGTTAACGATTTCTGGTGTCCCCCGCCGTGATATTACTGGATTATTGCTAAAAGCGGCGTAAAACTGAACTCACTCACTCATTCAACGTTAACGGAAGCATCTGTAGTGTTACTCATATTTGCTAGACGCATAAAATGTTTCTTTATTATTTGTCATTTTATTGATTGTCGTCTGTTCATTTTTTCTGATTTCTGAAATGTTAATGTTAAGGCATTGTGGCAAACATCGTCATCGTCATTATCCTCAATCAAAAGGATGCAGAGTAGATCAATTCTCTTTAAAGGGCCATTTTAGTTAAGGGTATTTATCAACCCAAAACACACAAGCTTGATGTACCCCTGAAGATCAAGGTTAGAATTGGTCTTCAGCAACCCATGCTTGACGTAAGAGGCGACTAAAAGCATCATGTGGTCAGGCTCGCTGACTTGGTTGATATATGTCATCTTATCCCATTTCCGTAGATCGATGCTGATACTGTTGATCACTGGATTATCTAGTCCAGTCTCGATTATTTACTGGGGTCCCCCGCCGTGATAAGCTCGAATATTGCTGAGTGCGGCGTTAAACTAAATTACCATATAGTCGAGATAATAAAATGCTTTGATAATTGTCATTTGTCTCTAATTTCCATTGATTGCCGTATATTGTACCATATTCTGAAATATTACCATATAGATAATGGCATGGCATGTACTATATAGATAATGGCATGTACCATATAGATAATGACATGTACCATATAGATAATGACATGTACCATATAGATAATGGCATGTACCATATAGATAATGACATGTACCATATAGATAATGGCATGTACTATATAGATAATGGCATGTACCATATAGATAATGGCATGTACCATATAGATAATGACATGTACCATATAGATAATGGCATGTACCATATAGATAATGGCATGTACCATATAGTATGCATGTACCATATAGATAATGGCATGTACTATATAGATAATGACATGTACCATATAGATAATGGCATGTACTATAAAGATAATGGCATGTACCATATAGATAATGGCATGTACCATATAGATAATGGCATGCACTATATAGATAATGGCATGTCATATTGTGCGGCTTCAGGCAACAAACAAGCAACACGGATCCTACTGGTCTACCCTTTCGCGAACACCTGGTGTCATCCCTCATTCTCGTGATCCATTTCGTATAAGTGGCACCGTATATCCGTCGACGTTATGACGTTGACGCCAACGAGCACGGGTACTGTGGTCACAGACCAATGATCGTGATAAAAGATTGTGAGTGATTGTGGTTTTACTCCGCTTTAGCAATATTCCAGCAATATCATGGCGGTGATCGTAGATAAAAATCCAAAGCGTGATGAAGATATTTACAAGTTGAGTCAGTATCAACGAAGTACAGTATTATGTTCTTTACGTTGCAACTGTAAACCTAAATGGCACTGGACCCAAAACGTGATGCCAAACAATGCCCTACAGTTTTCTTCTAATCTCACCAGACTAAAGGTTCTTTCCAAGAATAACCAATGTTAAAAAATCAACACGAACTCCACACGCTAATCAATATCCAGACGTTCATGGTAAGACAAGTGTCTCTCCTTAGACATTACCAGCTGCACTGTTCGCCTTTATCTGACATTCTCATTAGTGTGTCTACGACTTCTGTTATCCTTGAAGGCTTTGGGAACATGGCCGATGCTGCCAAGAAGACTGTCACTTTCCCAGAATCCTTGTGCCAGCGATTAACATTGCACATACAATATTTCTTTGAATTTCTGTTAGCATTGGTGTAGAATTATTGCTAGGTTTTCGACTGAAAGGGGTTGCTGTTTAACGCTGCACTCCACAATATTCCCACTGTTTGTCAGTCAGTGAACGGTCGAGTCTGAACCAGACAATGTCGTGATCCCGTTATGACAGGCATTCACCTTGGTTGCTGAAGACGAATTCTAATCCGGATCTT